TGGGTGACCCTGCAGCCTCAATGTCACCCCAGACAGCATCGACCCCAGGTGGTCCTGCTGTGACGCCCCCTGCGGAGACCCCTCGTCCACTGCCCTTGCTTTCTCCACGGTCCAGGGAGCTGAACTGGTAGGAGTGTCCTCAAGTGCAGGTAGGGAAGCTGAGGCCCAGGACCAAAGTTCTGAGTGAGAAGTGTTGCTGGGGCTGGGGCCAGCTCTTCTGAAGTTCCCCACGCCCTGTCTGGACCTCAGTGGAGAGTGAGGACAGCACTGTGCCCCTCAGGGTGCAGGATGAATGACCCAGGCACAAAACATTTCCTGATCCCCAGGACCTGTGAATATGGGGCCTTATGAGTTGGGGAGATGGCCTTGGGTTATGCTGTTGAGCCCAATGTAATCATACGGGTCCTTACAAGAGGGGGTTGGGGAAGGGGGGTGGGGCAGATAGAAGAGGGCAAAGGGGGGATAAATGGTGATGGAAGGAGACTTGACTTCCAGTGTGAACACACAATACAGTATACAGATGATGTATTACAGAACTGTACACCTGAAACCTATATAATCTTATTAACCAATGTCACCCCAATAAATTCAATAAAAAATAAATTAATTTTTCTTTTTCTTTTTTTAAACTGGGAGGCAAGGGGGTCAGAGTCTGAGAGAGGATGGGAAGACAGAAGCAGAGGTTGGAGTGATGCGGGCTGGAGCCAAGGGATGCAGGCAGCCTCGAGAAGCCAAAACAGGCAGGGAAATGAATCTCCCTTGAAACCTTCAGAAGGAACACAGCCCCTCACGGCCCCCCTCCCGAACAGTGACTGAATGTGTGTTGGGTTAAGCCACTGTGTGTGGTTTTTTGTCACAGCAGCCACAGGACACTCATATGTGTGGTGACCCCACTGAGGAGATGCTCCATGGGTGCTTTAAAGACTCAGAGGAGGCAGCAGAGGTGACTTCAGCATTGGGTGCTGAGCCCTGGCTGAAGGAGGGGTGAGGCCAGCCCAGGTAGCTGACAGTGGCCCCTGGCTCCTCAGGTCAGCATCTGGACAGACTGGGCATGACATGGGATACCAGCCGAAGGCCACGCCTCCATGTGGGTGGGCAGGGCAGGCAGCTGTTCAAAGTTAAAAGGCTTCAAAGTTGGGAGAGACTGCCCAGAGGAGCAGGTCCCCATTAAAGTGGGGGTACAGGGATATAGCCACGACTCCCCAAGGGGCCGTGAAGAGGGTGGGTGAATTGTGGTCAGGAGAAAGCTCACGTGGCCCTCCCAGGCCCCTCTCAGAAGGGTCACCTCGGCCTATCCCTGAGCCCTAGCTTTGCCAAATGGAAGGGGGGTGGGGGAGCTGTGGAGTCAAGTTTTCTGTGTCCCAGCCTCAGGAGAAAGGGCCCAGTGGAGCCCCACAGCACCCCTGATGAGTGATGGGGAGGGTGGCTCGCCCCTGGAAGCATTAGGTGTTCTGCTCCTCTGGGGCCTCAGGCCGCGGTCCGTGGGGTGAGTCGAGGAGGGCGCCTGTCCCCAGCAGAGACTGGCACTCAGCTTAGGGGGGAGTAAGCAGTGAGAGGCCAGGCCTGCAGCCTGGAGCCCTTCCCCAGCCCCTCCAAGCAAGGCCTGGGTTGGAGGCCGAAGGCCGCTGGGGAGGTCCAGGTGCCCCACCCACCCCGCTGTGCCCCTCTGGCTGGGCAGGGGCAGTGGCAGAGCTATTTTGCTTATGCTGCGGTGGCTGCTGCAAGGAGACATCAATCATTGATGCTCTGGGCATCCCTGCTGCCGGAGAGGCAGCTCAGGGCCTGCAGAGGTGTGGCTGGCAGCCCCAGATCCTCACCCTGGCTCCAACAGTGCCCTGCATCCCAGTACCAGTACCCAGGTACCCAACCTTGGAAGGCTGCAGGCAAGCCTGGGACCCCTGACCTGTGGGCCAAGGCGAGGGCTGGTGTGGTCCCCTGTGTGTCTCTGGCGTGGTGGTTCTGGGGAGGTGGTTGAGCCCGTCGGTCAGTTGGAGAGAGCGCTGCTGAATCACACGGCCGACCCCGTGGGGTGGTACTCAGAGGTGGTGTGGGGCCTTGTGTGTGCCTGGGGGCTGTGGGGTGGGCCCTTGTCTATGCCTCTGGGGGACAGCAGCTCCTGAGCCACACCCAGACGCTGTGGCCTTCTGAAGTAGGGCATCTGCCCCCAGAGGGGGACATCAGGACACGGCTGGAGCTACGTGTGCTGAGAGCAGCTCCTGGCAGCACAGGCTCTGCGGCAGGCACGTGGCCAGGCTTCAGCTGGGGCTGGGCTGGGCAGGGGTGGCACGGATGAGCTTCCTAGGTCCCTGTGGTGCTGGGGCCTGGCTGGGGCTGCCGGTGGGAGGAGGGGTAGGAAGGAAGGAGGGGTCCAGCAGGAGGAGTCCCACTGACCTGTCCCACGGACCTGGGGGCAAGAGCCAACTTCTGGGTAGTCTCCTTCACACACTGTGGGGTACACTGCCCATGGGGCCAGGGACTCTCAGAGATAAAAGGGGGCCCACATACCACCAGGGGTACTGGGGGGGGGGCACAGCGGGTGATGTGAGCCTCTACCTCAGAGCAGGCAGGAGAGGGGAAGGGGCAACCCCTGAGGCGGGGCTCCTTGCCCAACTCCATCCTGAATCTGGGGCCTGAGCAAGTGCTGAATCAACTCCCCAGCTGCAGAGAGAGCAAGGTCCCAGCAGGATGGTGTAGGCCTGCCCAGCCCTCACCAGGGAAGGTCCCTGCCCCAGCCTCCCCCAGGCTGTGTCTGGCCAGGGGTCCCAGGGGCCACCCAACTGCACAGGGGCTACAGGGACCGGCAGTGTGTGGCCCCGCCCCGCCCTGTGGCCATATGAGACCCTCCTCCCTGCCTGTGCTCAGGCCGGGCAGCCCCCAGCCTCCCCAACCAGGGTCCATCCTCCCGCTCCCACAGAGCTGATGGGAGCCATGGCAGCTCCTTGTGCACACTGCTTGACAGTCAGGCTATGTCACTGTCACATGGAGTGAGGCCACTTCATTTGGGTGGGGGCCCAGGGTCCCACAACTTCGCCAAGGTCATATGCCCAGTGGGGACACAAAGCTGTGCCCTAAGGTCTCATAAGACTGCCCCGTGTTCCCAGGCACCCACAGCCAGATGGGCAGCTGAGACCCCTGACAGACCCAAGAAGAAGCTGGACTTGACTCGCAGACCGGCAGAGCCAGGAAGGAGAGGTGCAAGGGTCTCTGGCCCTAGGGCATTCTGCCCAGCTGGAGAGAAGACACCAGGGCAGGAGGGGTGAGACCCAAGCCTGTGTCCCCACCTGAAGGACAGGGCTGTGCTCCATCATGCCATGAGCTTGAGACACAGGAGGCTGCCAGGGCCTCTTCCCGGCAGTGATGTGTGTGTCTGTCTGACCTGCTGCTGGAAGGCTGCCCGGGTGCAGCCCAGCTAACGGGAAGTGCCGAGCATGAGTCATCCAGCCGCAGGCTCACCTGGGCCCTGCCGGCCGTGTTCATTCCAGTGAGCCCAGGATGGTGTGTGCCTATGTGTGCATGGATGTGTACACATGTGTGCACGTGTGTATACCTATGTGTGCGTGTGTCATATCTGCATCCTGCTGTGCATGTCCCAGCAGGTGGCCGGAGGATGCAAGCGTGAGTGTGTGCTTGTCTCTGAGTGCATGGGGACGTGTCCAAGTAGATGTGTGTCTGGGGTGTGTGTGTGTCATCTCGTCTAAAGGGTGTGGGTCTATGTGTGTCTCTCGTGTGTTTCAAATCTGTGTGCCTATGTGGCCCTCTTGTTGCAGCCTGGCCTGCAAGTGAAGGTGTGTGTGTGTGTCCATTGGTCGATCCCCACACCATTTCCGGGAAGCCCCCAGGAATGGTCCTCCTTGGTGGTGGCCGTGCTCTCCTGGGTCTGTTCTGGCCCAAGGCTCTCTACCCTCCACCCCAGCAGTACTTGAACCTCCAAGGTGCCCTCACACCAGCCTGAGCCTCAGCTAACTCCTTACTTCCAAGGAAACAGAACTCTCCTGGGCCTCCCCACTCCACGCCCACTTCCCGGGGTGCCTCCCTCAGCACAGCACCTGTGGCGGCCCCTGTCCTGCTCCAGCTCTCAGCAGTTCCCCTTTGAGAACATCCCTCTTCCCACGGCTCCCTGGTGCAGCCTCCAACCTCTGGGAGGTTTCCCCACGTCCGTCCAGTAGTTGGCCGGGCACACTCCCAGCCAGCTGGGTGGTCCTTCCTCAGCCTCCGCCTCCCCCAGCCCCGCTGGGCCTTTCAGCGGGTGAGCCAGCCTCGGCTCTCCCATCCCGGTCCCGGGTTCCCGCTCTCCTGAGGTCGTAGCTTAGACTGTCTGCCCTTAGTCTGCCCCGAGCCCTCCAGGACCCCTCCCCAACCACGCCCACGCTGCAAACCACCTGGGAGAGCGCACTTCCAGACAGGGAGCCCCCAGGGCAGGGGGCAGATAATAAATAGGTCCCGGCCTCCTTCCCTACTGCCCCCCAGGGCGCCCCGCACCCAGCTTGAGATGAAAGTGTCCGGGCTGGAAGGTAAGACTGCGGCGCGCTGGTCCAGCCCTGAAGCCTCAGCATGGAGACCCCTGCCTGGCAGGGTCCAAAATCAACCCTGGACCCAGAAAGGCGGACTGGCGGGGCCCAGCTGGGGGCGGGGCTGGCAGGCCGCGGGGCCTGGGGCGGGGGTCCGACTGGAGGTCGGACGTGGGCGGGGCGGAGGGCGGGCCCCGGGGCGTGGCCGGTGGCCCCTCAGCCAATGGGCTGAATGAGGCCGGCGGTGCCGCCCTCAGTCGCTTGCAGTGCGGGGCGCGGGCTGGGCGGGCAGGGGCGGGGTCCGGGTGGTGGCCGGGTCGCGGGGCGCGGGCTGGGTCCGCAGTGCGAGGCTGGCGGTCGGCGGCAGCGCAGGGCAGCAGAGGCTGAGCGCAGCGCCCGCCCGGCCCTGGGCCGCCCGCGCGCCGGAGCCGGACCCGGACCAGCGACTGGACGCGACGGGCCGCCGCCGGCCCGCACCGCCCGGCAGCCGCGATGTGCGACTGCTTCCACATGGTGCTGCCCACCTGGCCCGGAGCCCCCGGCAGCGGTGCGCCTCTCCCCCGCCTGCAGCCCGCTCCCCTGGGGTGGGTGGGGTCTGCGCCGGGGTGTGGTGCTGGCCGGAGCGAGGGGCCTCGGGGGCGGCCCGCGGGGAGTCTGTGCGCCTCGGAGGCTTCTCAGGTTTCTGCCTCCCTCCTCCTGTATCTCGCCTTTACTTGTCCCTGTCTCTTGACCTCCCACCCCTCACTTTGTCTCTCCGGGTCGCCGATTCATCTCTACCACTCATTCTGTCGCTCCCTGCCTCTTTCCCTGTCACTCACTGTCCATGTCTGTCTGTCTGTTACTGTCCCCTTGTTGTAGCCTTCTGGGAAGTTGTCTTGTCCCTAGAGGTGGCTGCCTGGGGAGGACCGCAGGTGTGAGTGGGGCGCCAGGGCCACGGGTCACCAGGCGTGTGACAGGGTTGGGGGATGAGCAGGAGTTAGAGCTTTTGGTCTTGGTCCTGGACTGCCAGGCTGGGCTGGGTTGGGTCCATGGTGTGGCCGCTCTGTGGCTGGGTCACTGGGTAGGTGGTGGCTGTGGCAGGAATGGACCTGAAGTCTGGGGCTTGGTGAGGGACCTGAGGGGGGTCAGAGCTCTGGCCACAGAGCGGGGCAAGAGAAGGTGGGTGTTGCCCATGGGGCAGTCCGCCTCCCTCTGTGCCTCTGGCCACAGAAAGAGGACCAGGTGCTTTGCCATCTGTCTGTCCAGGCACTAGGCCTAGTTCCAGGACCTGGGTATCTCAGCATCATGGACGGCAGGGTGGGGCAGAAGCAGTCCTTCCAGCCACAGGTCAGGGATGCAGGTCAGTAATGCAGCATCCTGGCCACACCCAGGACACCTGCCCCGCTGCATTGGTGCAGGCTGGACCCCACGCCTTGGGGAAAACAGATCAATGATGATAATGGCGCTGCTGATGCAGTAGGACGGGGTGCTCCTTGGACTGGACACACCCCTACAGTCACAGCAGGAGCTGCTATTTCCCCTCCTGTTCCCCACTTGTCTGATGAGCACTGAGACCCAGCTGACCTCCTGTTTGGGCCTCCCTCACCCAGATGGGAGTCCAAGGTGCCCTGATATTCCCTGGACAGCCGGGGAGAATGATGGCCACTGTGGGTCGTTGGGCCTCCAGCCCCCTCCTCCTGACTGGCTGGCCCTGGCCCACAGCACTGGGACCCACCACATCACAGGGCTAGAGGAGAGGGGGCCTGAAGGACACGGAGCTGTTTGCTGGGCCTCCGCCTAGAGACAGCCCCTCCCCCCCACCCAGGCGCAGGCTCTACGGTTTATCTCATCCACCCTCCTGCCTCTCAGAGGCCTGTGCTGAGCCCCCTCCCCATTCGAGGCCCTTGTTCTCTGCTTGGCTTTGGTGGTTCCCTGGCCTCCTGGTGTCCAGCCTACAAAACCATCTGCTCTTAGGGACCAAGGTCAGTGACTGTCATGGGGCAGTGATAAGAGACCTACTGCATCAGAGCTGGGTTGTTCAGCATACAGATTCTTGGCCCCTTCACAGGAGGAACATGCACTCCTGATAAGGACCCTTGGGATTTGGTCCCAGCCTTCTCCAGCCGAATTCCTTTCTAGCAGGTCAGGAGGGAACGCACACCTTTGTCCTTCCGCCCAGTCCAAGCTTGCCTTCCAGACATGCAGATCCCCTAAGACCCCTCCAGGACCTGTCTGCACCCCAGCCCAAGGCCCAGGGGGAGAGAGGCATGTCCTGTCCAGCCTGGGTGCAGAGACTGCCCCCTGGTGGCTGTGCAGGGAACACACCCGCACAGAGATCCGCCTAGCCTCACTGAACCGGGCCAGCTCCAGCACCCCTCCCCACGCCTCATACTACCCTCCCAGGTGACCCTTCCCTATTCCAGTACGGGAAGGGAGCTCCAGCTGGGTGCACCACCCCCCTGGGGGACACCAACTACTTCACCCTGTGATGGGCCCCAGCGGCCACATCCCTTCCTCTCCCAAGGCCCACTGGTTCCTTCCAGAGGCAAAGCTGAGTCCTAGATTGACAGGGCGCCCCCTGACCTCCTGCCTGGGTGCCTGCCTTACACCTGCAAGCCCCTGGCTTGGCCTGAGACCCCCCAGAGGCCCCCACCAGGAAGGCCCAGGTGCCGTACCATGAGGGGGTCGGGGTGGCTGTGGGAAGGTCGAGGCCTTTCCAAGCACAGTGCGGTGCTGGGCATCCCAGGGGCGGCCCCACCTTCCGAGTCAGGCTGGTGGTCTCTGCACAGCCCTGGGCGCGAGGAGCTGTGGGCTGGACCTCGAATCTGTGAGCAGGAGTGACCGTGGCCAAGGTCGGCCAGGGAGGCCAGTCTCTGCGCCGTCCACACTGGGGGAGGGCCATGTCCCCATTGCACAGACGAGGACACCAAGTCTAAGCGCAGGCAGGCAGAGTCCTGGGGCAGCACGGAGGCTCTGTGGCCCGCGCAGGGCCCAGAACGGCCCTGTCACATGCTTTATGCAGTGATTATGACCAATGCTGGCTCCGCCGCGCCCTACCAGGCAGCAGGCCTACAGGCGAGGGAGCCCTCGAGTGCCCCTCTCCAGCCTAGAAGTGTTCATGGCACCGGTGGGCATGGAGGAGGAGGCAGACGGGTCATCGTGGCCCAGGTACTAACCCTCTCGACACCTTAATGCGGTGGATTACCAAAGCCACTGCTGCTGATGGCATCTCTGTTCCTGACAGCACCCCCAGGTCTTTTCCTGGTGGGCAGACTGAGGCTGGACAGCCTGGCTCCTGCCCCAAGTCCTGGGGAAGGGGGTGGGGCCCAGGGGTGGATAGGCAGGTCCAGTGCCCAAAAGCCCGTCTCCCCTGCGCCGAAGTAGTGTGAGCCCACTCCACCTAGGCCCATGGTGCGTGGACCTCAGGCAGGAATGCCCTTGTGGCCTTGTCTCCCTCTGTCCAAGCTCTCTGTCCTGGGCCCAGCTAGGAGCTGCCTCTCCCAGCAAGCCCCCTGATTGCTGGGCCCACCCTAGCTCTTCAGGCTCCGACCCTCTCTGTGTCCTTCCAGGTCTGCCCTTGGCTGAAGGCCTCTGTGTTTTTAGGTTCAGCCTGGGGTGGGGAAGTGCCAGAGAGGAGAACCCTAGGCAGGCAGAGTGAGGCACTGGTCTTCTGGGAGGCCCTGCCACCCACTTCAGGGGTGAAAACCCCAGATTTCCCCGGCTTGGCTCTCTGCCTGGGAAGAGGCAGACCCTGCACTCAGAGCTAATGTGAGGGGGTGCCTGCCCACTCATCCATCCGTCTGTGCATTCCAAGGGCCCCGGGATTTGGGAGGCCGTACATCAGGGGGCAGGGGTTCCCCACTGTTCAATCAGAAAGGGGAGTCAGGCACAGCCTCGGCCCTCGGTGCAGCCTCAGGTGCACGGAGGAGTCAGGGAGGGCTCCTCGGAGGAAGGGCTATCTAAAGGGGACAGCTGCACACACCAGAGGCCTGGAGAGAGTGTCAGCTGGGTGGGGGGAGGACAGCGAGTGGACTAACAAAGTGGGTCTGGGGTGGGGTGGGAGTTAGGGTAGAGAGGGCAGGGGCCAGGCTGTCGGGACGGAGGGCCATTTTGAGGGCACCAGGAAGTTCCAGCGGGTCTCGGAGCAGGTCCTGTGGGCAGGGGTGAGGTGGACGGCGGGATGGAGGCTGCCGGCTGAGAGTGGGGAGCTGAGGTGAACACAGAGGGGTCTGGGTGTGGACACGGTGCCCCCCGACCTCCCCCATCCCCACTCCAAGGCAGCTGCCCATTTTGGCCAGGGGTCTGGTCCGAGCCCTCAGGGGCATCTCTGCCAGGCCCCGCCTGCCCCTGCCTGCATCTCCAGACTTCCCTTTGTTTTTCTTTTTTTGGAAGCCACAGGGGCTGGGAGCCAAAGGTATGCCTCACTGGGATGAATCTTTAATAGTCAGAAGCACTTTCTAAAATGGAAAAATGGATCTGGGCCCAGACGCTGGAAGGTGGGGCAGGGCGGGGGGTGGCACCCCCGCCCCCCGGGCCAGCACCCCCACTTGCGGCTGGTCCCTGCCCTGCGGGGAGCCAGAGGAGACCCTGCTGACCCTCTGTGGGGGCTGCCCCCGGCTGGCACTGCCCAGGGCTGGTGGTGGGCGAGGGGCAGAGCTGCTGAGTCCGAGGAAGGGTCTTCGAGCCTCGCTCCCGCCTGGGTGATGCCCAGAGGACAGCTGGGGCTCAGAAAGGGGTGGCCCAGGGACGAGATACCCGGTGGGGCTTCCTCTGGGCCTCCCCTCCCTGTGGGCACAGTAGGTGGACAGGCTGGCTCAGGCCCACTGTCTGTTGGAGACCTTCGAGGTGAGGGTCAGACCCTGGGCTCTGGGTGCTCTGCCCCCAGCCACTGCCCTCGACCCCGCGGGTACCCTTGTTTCCCGAGAGCTGCTGGCCTGGCTGGATCCTGGAGGGCGGGAAGAGGATGGCCTCCCGGGGCCTGGCTGTAAGACCCTCAAGGGTGGCCCCTTCCCAGCAGGCCTTGCTCCTGGGTGGTGCCAGCACCCGAGGGCTCCTCGTGACACATTCCTTGAGAATGCCACGCTCGGGCCCTGCCCTCTTGCCAGCTGATTCACTATCAGCTGCCGCTGGCCCTGTTCCCATGGTGACTCCGTGTGGGAGTCTGGGGGCCAGGCAGCCGCCTGTACAGTGGGCTCTGCAGGCACAGGCCGGGCTCTCAGGACCCACGGCTGCCGCTCAGACTGTGCCTGCCCGCCAGGCCTGACTCCCTGCAGCCGGGGCCAGGAAGGGCCCTGCCCAGAGCCCTTCCCTGTGGGAGCCCAGGGCTGCAGGCCCGGAACCAGCTTGGGCAGCCTCCTGGCTCGGGCCCCACCAGGTCACAGTGGTCAGAGTGGTCTTAGCCGTGAGCCCTGCGCTTCCAGCCTGACCCTCCCCTCCTGCCCGTGTTCCGGCCTGTCTGTGCCACCCTGCCGTCCTGCCACCACCCACCTCTGGTCAGTCTGGGATTTGCAGGAGCCCAGCACCGGGCCAGGGCTGCTGGTGCTGGCCCCTGAGGGGAGAGGCCAGGGT